AGGTGCAAACTGTTGAAATCTTTACTTAATATATACTAAACTGATCTTCTGTATATAGAGATAATTGAAAATGAATCTTGACGTAAATGAAATGGGAGAGGGAGCGGGAGAGGGGAGGGTTGCGGGTGGGAGGGAAGTTATGGGGAGGGGGGAGCCACTATAATCCAAAAGCTGTACTTTGGGAATTTATATGTATTAAATAAAAGTTAAAAAAAGGAAAACTATGTCTATGGGCTGGCACTCTGGTACATCAGGTTAATGCCCTGGCCTGAAGTCCTGGCATCCCATATGGGCGCCGGTTCTAGTCCCGGCTGCTCCTCTTCAATCCAGCTCTCTGCTATGGCCTGGGAAAGCAGTAGAAGATGGCCCAATGTCCTTGGGCTCCTGCACCCTTGTGGGAGACCGGGAAGAATCTCCCAGCTCCTGGCTTCGGATCAGCACAGCTACGGCTGTTGCGGCCATCTGGGGAGTGAACCAGCGAATGGAAGACCCCTCTCTCTCTCTGTCTCTCTCTGCCTCTCCTTCTCTCTCTGTGTAACTCTGGCATTCAAATAAATAAATAAATCTTTAACAAAAGAAAAACTATGTCTAGATTTAAAAGATTTCTCGTATCAAATTTTTTTTTCCATTGTCCATGAGCTTTTTAAAGTCCTCTTGTATGATTTAAAGAGAGGAGTTACCTGAAACAGGTCAGAACTCTGCCACAGGTTGATGGACCTGAGAATTAGGGAGTCCTAAGTGAATTTACCTATTGCAGGTTGTAAAATTTGATAACATGTGATTAATTAACTCATATTCTATGCAAAGCACTTTCTTTGAGGCTGTTGGAGATAACAAAGGTCTGAAGATGAGGCGTCTTTCTCTAGTTTAGAATGCTGCTTTACTTTTGTGGTCTTTCCAACATCCATAATGTAAATCAAACTATGAGGAAAAACATCAGAAAAATTAAAATTGAGGCACAGTCTCCAAAATATCTCATCAGTAAGCCTCTGAATTCAAGGTCATCCAACCAAAGAAAATGTGAGAAACTATAACTACCAAAAAGAGTCTAAAGAGATATGACAACTAAATATAATGTGGGATCCTGATACAGAAAAAGGATATTATGGAAAAAGTAAGAAAATCTGGGGGAAACTAGACATTAGATAATGATAACAAATCAACATTGTTCATTAGTTGTCCTAGGTTTTCCATATTAAAATAAAAATTTCATAACTTTGGGAGTGTATACAGGAACTCCCTGTACTATTTTTGTAATAAGTCTATCAATGTTAAACTGTTCTAAGAAAAGTTTATGGAATCAATAAAAATGCTTGAATCTCACCCTATGTTAAAAGAATCCATCTCTTTGGGTGTAGTGTCAAAGCAACTGTTCTCCAAGTGATTCTGATGAACTATGAAATTGAAGAATCTGGCCCGGCGCCGTGGTGCACTAGGTTAATCCTCCACCTGTGGCGCCGGCAACCCATATGGGCACTGGGTTGTAGTCCCGGCTGCTCCACTTCCAATCCAGCTCTCTGCTGTGGCCTGAGAAAGCAGTGGAAGATGGCACGAGTGCTTGGGCCCCTGTACCCATGTGGGAGACCAGGAAGAAGCATCTGGCCCTGGTTTCAGATCAGTGCAGCTCCGGCTATTGTAGCCATTTGGGGAGTGAACCAATGGAAGGAGGACGTTTCTCTCTGTCTCTCTCTCACTGTCTGTAACTCTACCTCTCAAATAAATAAAAATCTTTAAAAAAAAGAAATTGAAGGAGCACTGACTCATCTAGCAAGGCCAGATCAAAATTTAACTTGCAATTCAAAATTCTTTATTGTTTTTCACCTTCTTTTGCCCTCTTTAGCTCTTACAGATAGATGTAGCCATGGGCCTCATCTCCTGGCCTAGCCCCAGCCTGTTTCCTGGGTCAAACTGGACAAGCTAAGTGATCTAGCTTATAATGTGAATAATCTCAGGCTGGGGCTGGTCACTGTTTTCCCTTACTCCACTCAGATTTCAGCCAATGGTCAATACTACTGGCTTTCGATATCTGTGAGTTTCACATCCAAAAAGTCAACCAACTATGGTTTCAAAATAATCCGGAAAAAATGCATCTGTACTGAACAGGTAAAGACTTTTTTCCTTGTCATCATATCAGAAACAATACATTATAATAATTATTTATATAACATTTATAGTGTGGTGAGTATTATAAGTAATCTACAAATGATTTAATGTATACAGGAGGATATATGTAGATTAAATGCTATTCCATTTTATAAAAGGCCTTGAGTACCTGTGGACTTTGGTATCTGTTGGGGGTGGGGGATCCTGGAACCCCCTCAGATGTGGAAGGAAATTATACTCCTTGGTTTCTCCCAACCAGCCATGACCCAGCATATAGGGACATGCTAGATTCTTTTCTTGTGATCTTTTTGAGGAACTCCTCATGTTAAGACTTCCTCTTGGGTTAAGGCATCAGTTTTCTGAAGTGGAGAACTTACCTCTGCTAGTTTCCTTCCTTGAAAATTTAGAACCCTCTTCAGTCACTAATCAGACAGTGACTGAGGTAGAGAGAGTCTCTGAAATAACCCTGCCTTACTCTTATGTCATTGACTTAGTTTCTGAAAGTTTTCCCTACCATGTTTCATCTGCCAGGTTAGACCTCTGTGACATGAACTGCCCAAATTCCCACCCCAGGATCTCCATCCTCTGGTTAATGTCCTCCACCCTACAATTGGAATGTTACAAATGCTCCCAGTTAAACTTCATCTTGCTTGTCCTCTTTTGATCACCATAATATGCTGAGAATTGAATCTACTCCCATTAGGATAGCAACCCTTCTGTGACACCAAACTTCCCTTTCAACTAAGAAGACTTTCATATCTCCTACCCTCCACCAATGTTTGATCCTTGTTCCACACTTACCACATTATGCTCCACTGCATCTCCATATCCTCCTTGCTCTTTCTGGCATGACCAATGGAATTCTTATAATTCATCTTCCCTGACCCAGCAATATCACCAGGCATATGAACAAAACCCGCAATGTGGAAAACAAACAGAAAAAAAGAATTTAGAAGAAACAGAGAAAACATAGGCAGCGGAAGAAAGCTTTAAAGACAAAGAAAAGATCTATACAAATATAGGTTCAAAAAGTCCATGAAAAAATGTAGTTAAAAGATAATGCAAATTCTTCATGGACTTTTTGGAGTTTCCTTGTATAATAACTGTCCTAAAAACAACTTGAAGCAAGACGAATGGAGAAGAGCCACAACTGGCCTGGAGCTTATGTATACTGCATGCAAAAAATAAACTTTCACCATAAACCAAAAAAAAAAAAAAACTAACGAGCAAATATTTCATTCATTCAATGGAAATAAAATTCTATATTTAAAATGCAAAAATAAGCAAGAGTTCGTGGAAATTTAAATTTGATACAGAAATCTTAAAATATCGTTAGATGGGGCTGGCATTGTGGCACAGCAGGTAAAGCCACCACCTTCAATGCCAGCATCCCATATGGGCACTGGTTTGTGTTCCGGTTGCTCCACTTCTAACACAGCTACTTGCTAATAGCCTGGGAAAAGCAGCAGAAGATGGCCCAAGTGTTTGGGCCCTTGCCACCCACATAGAAGGCCTAGAATAAGCTCTAGGCTCCTGGCTTTGCCCTGGCCTAGTCCTACTCATTGTGGATATCTGGGGAGTAAAGCAAAAGATGAAAAATCTCTCTCTATTTGTCTCCCCCTCTCTCTGTAATGTTGACTTTCAAATAAAGAAATAAATCTTAAAAAACATCATTAGAAAAGTTGTCTTGTTTTTGCTTGTGCTTTTACTTCTAGATTGGGACTTGATAGCCACCCTTGAACTTCTTGACTTCTTAGAGCCACTTTAGAATGAACAAATCAGTAAATCCAATTGAAAATTGATCCCTGCTAAAAATAAGAGTGGGAATAAGAGAGGGAGGAGATGTACAGTTGGCACACATTCCCTCAGACTTACCCCTAAGGGTAAAGCTAAAAACTTGCCATGGGACTCCAAATCCCATTAAGTTGGCAGGTACCAATGCCATCTTACTAGTCAAAGTGATCAGTTTAAGTTCATAACTGATCATAAAGATAGGATTAAGTGTCAAAGGGATCACATAAATAAGACCAAGTGTGTGCTAATAATAATTGATAGAATTAAAAAGGAGAGAACGATCCAATATGGGAAGCAGGAAACACAGCAGACTCATAGAATGACAAATGCCCTAAACAGCACTCTGGCCTCAGAATCAGCCTTTAAGGCATTCAGATCTGGCTAAAAAACCCATGAGAGCATTTCAAGCATGGAAAGCCAATACACTGTGGCAAAAAACGATCTAAATGAAAGATCTCTGTGAGTGAGATCCTGGTGGAAAGAAGGGGCCATCAAAGAATGGGGTACCTTTCTCTGAAGGGAGGAGAGAACTTCCACTTTGACTATGGCCTTTTCTAAATAATGTTGGAGTTTGTGAATTCAAGAGGCTTCCACAGCCTTGGCAGCTCATGACAAGAGACTTGGGTGATTACTGACATCATAAATAAGAGTGTCAATTGTTAAATCAACAACAGGAGTCACTGTGCACTTATTCCCCATGTAGGGAATATGTCTTTAATGTGTTGCACTATGATAATTAATGGTAAAACTAATCTTCAAACAGTACTTTACACTTTGTGTCTGTGTGGGTGCAAACTGTTGATCTTTACTTAGTATAGAGTTGATCTTCTGTATATAAAGATAATCAAAAATTAATCTTAATGAAGAATGGGATGGGGGAGGGAGTAGGAAGTGGGATGCTTTGGGGGTGGCAGGGTGGGTATAGGGGGAAGAACTGCTATAATAAAAAAGTTGTACTTACAAAATTTACATTTATTAAATAAAAGCTTTATATATAAAAAAGACTGAACAAATCAGGCAGAGCTCCTGCTACTGGGTGTGGAAGTTGCTTTGGGGTCTTTGAACACCGGACAAATGGACCCAGAGTCTACACTTCGGGGCTATTCATATTTCTGTGGGATCACCTAAGCAGGTGAGTCCTAAGATCAGGATTTAAGTTGATGACCAGAAAGTTCCATTTTAGCCTCAGATCCAAATCAGATTCTTAAATCTGGATCTTACCTAAGAGACTTGTATTTGGATATTATAGAATCAACTATCCAGCTATTGATAAAGTCCCATGTGGGCCCCATCCTGACTTTTGTGTGTATGCTTCCACACCCAAAATCTCAGGTAAGAGAGGAAAGATATGAACCCTTAGGATATCCTGTTCCTCTAGTTAACTAGAAGGAAATATCAAAAAAAGTAAAGTATATCTCAAATGTGGACATTTAAGGAATTTTTAACAAACACAAAATAAAATAAAATTCCAAATGTGATATCCATGTGCCTCTATAGTCTACCTCCTCAGAGGGTATATGTTCCATACCTCCCACATAATGCTCTCATCAATCAAAACAATCAAAATGAATGTACTAATTTGTGGAGTACATACTTTGTATCAGGCTTTGTGCTTAATATTTTAGAAATATCTTTTCATTCAAATATAAGAATATCTAAGAGACACGTGCAACTGTTATTCTCATTTTACAGATTAGGAAACTGAGGTGATCAAGCAAATCATCCTTTATTTAGCAAGGGAAGAGTCCCAGATTAAAATATAGGACAACTGACTCTGACTATACTACCATTGTTAAATTTGCTGTTCATGGTACCTTAATGCAGTACTGGCTCATTAGCTAGAATATCTCTCCTGTCCATCTGCCCAGTGAAAGCCTACTTATTACTCAAAAAGCAGCTCAAGTGTCATTTCTTCCATGAAGCATTCCTTTTTCAAACTTTGTTTCTCTTTCTTCAGTATTCTCATCAATTTAAAAATAGAATATTTATTTTAAAGGCAGAAGGAAAGACAGAGGAGACAGAGAGAGAGACAAAGATAGAAAGCTCCTACTTTCTGGTTCACTTTTCAAAAGCCCTCAATGGCTGGGGCTGGGTCAGGGATAGAGCAAGAAGTCAATAACATAATCCAGGTCTCCCATGTGGGAGCCAGCATCCCAATTCCTTGAGCCATCACTGGTGCCCAGGTCTGCGTTGATGGGAAGTTGGAGGCAGGAGCTGGAGCTGGGAATAGAACCCAGGCACTCCAATGTGGGATGTGGGCATCTTAATTACTAAACAGCCTTTCTTTATCCATTTTTAAAAGTATCCCTATGAATTAATCCCTGACAGGGTTTTCCAGAAGCAGACTTCAAGAAGAAAGTTTGTCCACAAGTGATTCCTGAAGGAAAGGCTCCTGAGAGAAACTGGTAAGGGAGACGGGAAGCAGGACATGGAAATTGAAGAAGCTAGGCAAAACGTAGTCTTTAAGCAAAGCCGCAGCCTCTGTGTGATCGCATAGGGGAGCTCTAGATGACAGGAAACAGCAGAGTTTCTCTTGAGCTGAGCAATCTGAGAAAGCATTAACCCCTCCTCACCCAGCACCCTTGCCAGTCATTGGTTAAGTGCTTTATTCCTGAAACATATAAACCCTCAGGCATTTCGGGCCTTCAGTATGTCAATCCAAAGTGGCTTAAGAACTAAGTGGAATTCTCTTATAAGAATATGCAAGCTGGGGCTGGCACCGTGGTTCGCTTGGTTAATCCTCTGCCTACGGCGCTGGCATCCCATATGGGCACCGGGTTCTAGTCCCAGTTGCTCCTCTTGCAGTCCAGCTCTCTGCTGTGGTCCGGGAGGGCAGCGGAGGATGGCCCAGGTGCTTGGGCCCCTGCACTCCCAAGGGAGACCAGGAGGAAGCACCTGGCTCCTGGCTTCGGATCAGCGCAGCGCCGGCCGTGGTGGCCATTTTTGATGTGAAGCAATGGAAGGAAGACCTTTCTTTCTGTCTCTCTCTCTCACTGTCTAACTCTGCCTGTCAAAAAAAAAAAAAAAAAAAAAAAAGAATACACAAGCTACTGAGGTCGGCATTGCGGTGCAGCAGGTTAAGAAGCCACTTGTGATGCTGGCATCCCACATGGGTGTGCTGCTTCGACTCCCAGTTACTTGGCTTCCAGCTAATGTGCATCGTGGGAAGCAGTGGATGATAGCCACAGTGCTTAGGTCCTCACCACCTATGTGGGAGACCTGGATGGAGTTCCAGAATTTTCACTTCAGGCTGACCCAGATCTGGCTGTTGAAGCCATAGGCTATAATTTGAATATGGTTTGTCCCCTCTGAAAATTCATCTGGAAACATAATTACCTTGTGAAGTATTAAGAGACTGAAAATCTAACCTGACTCTGATGATGTGGGGCCCTTGGGAAGGGATTAGGATTAGATAAAGTTGTCAGGGTGGATGTACCCTGATTGGATACTGGTGGCTTTTTAAGAGGAAGGAGAGAGATCACACATATAGAGAGACACTTCTACTCCCTCTGCCCTGCCATGTGATGCTCTGTACCACCTTGGGACTCTGCTACCAAGAAAGCCATCACCAGATGAGATCCCTCAACCTTAAACATCCAGAACCATGAGCCCCAAAAACCCACTTTTCTTTAAAACTTGCACAATCTTTGGTATTGTATTATTGGCAATAGAAAATGGACTAATATCCTTTGAAATTCACTCCACTATTACTTTAGTATGTGCTACTTCTGTATCTTTTCATTTGCACTCAACAAATATTATTTGGTTTTAATTCACCTTAAGAGTGAAGAGAGTCTATGACCAGACTGGTAAATTCTGCATTCACTTCTCAGGTCCTCTGAAAATTCCTCACTTCCTAGTACTTATGCTGGGATGCATTCTTGTTCTAATCCCCAATGACATCAACCTCTACTGAAAATTTCTGTTAAAACCTGATGTGGAGAAAGTACATTCTCAAGGACTTGCTTCTTAATAGGAAACTAATTACTGAGCAGCCAAGTTAGCCATCCTCCCCTTCTCGAACCACAGAAGTGTCTACCTTCTCAACAACTTTCCTTTCCCTCTTCCTAATCCCAGAGGTGAATACAGATAATCAGGGTGATTTGTTAAGTGACTTAAGGAAAAGACAGCTAGTAAGTTCATAGTGTGTATCAATGAAAACTTCATTTCACATCATCAAGATGTGGGAGAAGTTCTGCACATTGAGTGGCTGCCATTGTACTAGCTGTCTGTGAAATTACCTGTTCAGAAGCTCAGAAAGCCATTCCCTTTCAGTGCCTGCTCAGGGCTGGGAGATGACACTAGTGCAGAGCCAGTTAGTTCCCACTGAATACATATAGTAAGAACTAAAATGGAGAGATACCTAAAATTACTTGTGCTATAAACATAAATAAGGAGACAGTCCTTTATCTAATTTCTATATAATAATGTCCAGCATTATTTAGTACTTACAGCTGGCTAGACCAAATGAGTGTTAGACATGTGATATCTTTGATGTGAGGCCTGTTTTCTAGATGAGGAAACAAAGACCTGGGAACGAAAATTACATGACCAGGGTCAGACAGTGCAGAAGTTGTAGAGATCTGAGAGTTGAGTCCAGGAAGGAATGACTCGTGTAAGCCTCTGATCTCAGAACTTTGTGCTTTTCTAGTTTTCCACACGGGATTAGGACGTGTGGGTTCTTCAATCAAGCTCGCTCAGAATATATGGAGCCAGTTTTCTATCAGTATCATCCAATCATTTTGTAAGACCCACATTGAAGACACTATTCTTCTCAGTGGAAACTTAAAGAGTACTGAAACAGTAGTGAAACAGTACTGAAAACTTAAACAGTACTGAAACAGTACTGAAAACGAACTTCTTAAGTCCCTCTTTAGAATTCCAGATCATGTACAGCTCTGCTAAGGTAAATGTTAATCACAAAAAATGTTGGTGTGTAAAAATAGGAATAACAAGGAAGGGAAAATGTTTATCCTATAAAATAAAATGACATTGTGTACATGTGTTTGAGAGCATTAGAAACAAGTAGCAATGTTCACTAAAATTGAAAACTATATGGCTGGACCTCTGTTCTAGAATATTTAGTGAGCCATTAATCCATATATGTCTACATATGGAGAACAATACATATATAATTATATAAATCAGGCCTTTCATTTTTAATATGGCTTTACTACTATCAATCCTATTTAATTAAGCTTCTAATTAATAAACTCCCTAATGAACTATGAATTAAACTGTGTGCTATTTTTTACTTACAGTAATGATTATTTATGCTATATATGGTTGTTGGGGTGTTGCATTATCTGAGCTCAAGGGGACTCATATACAACGTTGATTAATTCCAGAGAAACCAACCAAAGTCTGATTGGGAGAGACATGGGTTTATCGCTCTTAAGAAGTGACTGGTGGCACTCCATCAGTCAGTAATCTGCACTGCCCCTGCAGAGTGCACAACATTAAATAGCTCATGAGTAAACACACACAACTGGTTCATGATCAAAAAAAACAGGTGTGTTCCTTGGTGTTCTACAAGCTTATGTTGGTCCTCCCCACCAGATGCTACTTAAGATGTTCGCCCTGGAAGTTGAGGTGGGGAGGCCTTGATCTCAGAGGCCACCCAGGAAATAGAATGCTTTTTCTCATGGGAGAAGGGAAGTGTTATGAGCCTTCCCTACAAGAAGGTAGGCAGTTTTAAATTTCATTTGATGTTTTAAATCTTATTTCAAACTTCCTTAGGTTAAATTTAATGACCAAGAATCTAGGACAGAAAATCAGGTATGTGTGACTTTCTGACAGTAACAAGGTCTCACAGGGAAAAAAGATAGTATACTTAAAAGTTATACCATTGGCAGAGAGTTTAATGAAAGAACTATTTACAAAAAAAAAAAAGTGGGCACAGTGTACGGAAGCCATTGGGATGGCAGAGTACCTAAGACTAGTAAGACGGTCCTAGGCCAATTACCCAATACCCACCTTCAACCTGAAAGGTTTTTGCTTAGTTCTTTTTCTGCTTCTATAACAAAACACCTGAGGCTAGGTCAATTATAAAGGAAAGATGTTTCTTTTGACTCACAGTTCTAGAGATTGGAAAGTCCAAGACCAGAGGGCTGGCATCTGCTCAGTTTCTGGCTAAAGGACCCGTGCTGCATCACGCCATTGCAGAATAAGAAGGGAAAATGGGAACATGCAGAGGGGCACATGCGGAAGAGAGGGAGGGGGTGCACCACTACCATACAACCCAGCTATCCCACTCCTTGGAATTTACCCAAGGGAAATTAAATTGGCAAATAAAAAAGCTGTCTGCACCTTAATGTTTATTACAGCTCAATTCACAATAGCTAAGACCTGGAACCAACCCAAATGCCCATCAATAGTAGACTGGATAAAGAAATTATGGGATATGTATGCTATAGAATACTACACAGCAGTCAAAAACAATGAAATCCAATCATTTGCAACAAAATGGAGAAATCTGGAAAACATCATGCTGAGTGAAATAAGCCAGTTCCAAAGGGACAAATATCATATGTTCTCCCTGATGGGTGACAACTAACCAAGCACCAAATAGGAAACCTGTTGAAGTGAAATGGACACTATGAGAAAAAATGACTTGATCAGCCCTTGTCATGAATGTTGATGAACAACTTAATACTTTATCCCTTTTAGAATTTGTTTGTTCTACTTAATACCATTGGTTGAACTCTTTAACATTCTTTAAATTTAACTGAAAAGTGATCCCTGTTAAATATAAGACTGGGAATAAGAGAAGGAGGAGATGTACAGTTTGGGACATGCTCAATCGGACTTGCCCCTAATGGTAGAGTTAGAAACGTGCCAGGAGATCCCAATTCAATCCCATCAAGGTGGCATGTACCAATGCCATCTCACTAGTCAAAGTGACCAATTTCAGTTCACAATTGATCATAATGATAGGATTAAAAGTCACAGGATCACATAAACAAGACTAGTGTCTGCTAATACTAACTGATAGAATTAAAAAGGAGAGAATGATCCAACATGGGAAGCAGGATACACAGTAGATTCATAGAATGACAAATGCCCTAAACAGAATTCTGGCCCCAGAATCAGCCCTTAAGGCATTCAGATATGGCTGAAGAGCCCATGAGAGTATTTTGGGCATGGAAAGCCAAGACACTCTGGGGAAAAAAAGACCTAAATGAAAGATCTCTGCGAGTGAGATCCCAGTGGAAAGAACGGGCCATCAAAGAAGGAGGTACCTTTCTCTGAAGGGAGGAGAGAACTTCCACTTTGACTATGACCTTGTCTAAATAAGATCAGAGGTGGCAAACTAAATAGGCTTCCATAGCTTTGGCAACTCATGACTAGAGCCTCGGGTGATTACTGACGCCATAAATAAGAGCGTCAATTGTTAAGTCAACAACAGGAGTCACTGTACACTTACTCCCTATGTAGGATCTCTGTCTTTAATGTGTTGAACTATGTGAATTAGTGGTATAGCTAGTACTCAAACAGTACTTTATACTTTGTGTTTCTGTGTGGGTGCAAACTTTTGAAACCTTTACTTAATATATACTAAATTGATCTTCTGTATATAAAGATAATTGAAAATGAATCTTGATGTGAACGGGATGGGAGAGGGAGCGGGAGATGGAAGGGTTGTTGGTGGGAGGGAAGTTATGGGGGTGAAAAAGCCACTATAATCCAAAAGCTGTACTTTGGAAATTTATATTTATTAAATAAAAGTTAAAAAAAAAACTTGTTTTTGTGGTAGCCAAAGTGTCCTTTGAGAACTAATTTAGTCTTGAGAGAAATAACACAGTCCTGTGAGAAAGAAATAAATCTGGTCATGAGAATGGATGCCCCGTGACACCAAATGACTTTCATAGGCCCCACCACCTCTCAACATCATTATATTAGGGATGTAGTGTAAACAAGAGCTTTGATGGGGCAAACTATACTCAAAACATAGTAGTATTAGAGAGGGAGCTGTTATCAAGACTCAGGGATGTGGAGATAATGCACGATAGATGCTGACAGGCCCTTTAGGAAGAAAGCTATAAACATAAATCTTTAATCTTGTTCTACTGCTAATCTCCCACCACTTCTGATGGTTTCCTAATGGGAAGCCAGAGAAGAAGGGAGCCTGTTAGTGGTCCACATCTCAGGGCACAGGGTAAGGATGTTGGCACACCCAACAGAGCATCTTTGCAGTGTGGACACAAGTTCCCTTCATCTCTGTATCCTCTACACATAGCTGAGACTTAGCTAATGTGGGATGAAGGAGTAATTCCTCTTGTTAGAAAAGAACTCATCAGTGTAATCTGTGGAAAATCAAAAGAACAGAACCAAACTTTTTGTGTTATTCCTAAGTATATCAATCAGGTTTATCTCAAAACCCACTATGTTGATAAATTTCTCAAAGTAAGAAAATGATGGGCCTACTTAGGAACATTGCTACCTTTGAAGTTAAGTTCAGAGTCACAAGTTGAGTGTATTCACTGAACTTGATTTAGTTATTTTGATTTAAGTGCCTCCCACATTTCAAAGCTGCATATCAAAGTGAAGTCTTACTTTGGAACTTTGCTTTTGCATGATTCTTTTCATGATTTCCTTTCCATTTCTTCACCTTCTACCCTCTCTTCTTTTTCCTTTTCCCATTCAGTGGTTGAGGCCCTAGGGATTAGAAGATAACTCATTTGGGACAAAATCCAACAAATCAAAAGCCAATTGTTGAAGCAGGCATTTGGTCCAACAGTAAAGATGCTGCTTAAAGAGCCACATTTCAAACGAGAATGCCTGGGTTTCATATCCAGGTCTGGCTCCTGATTATAGCTTCTTGCTATAAATGCAGACCCTAGGAGGCAGCAGTGATGGTTCAAGTAATTGGGTTCCTCTCATCGACATGGGAAACCTGGACTGAGTTCTTGGCTCCCAGATTTGACCTCAGCCCAGCCCTGGTCAGTATAGACATTTGGAGCATGAATCAGTGAATGAATTAGTAGATGGGAGCTCTTTCTGTCTCTTTTTCAAACTCACTCTTGCTCTTAAATAAATAAACTTCAAAAATACATATTTGAAAAAAAAAAAACATCTGTATTGAACATAGACCAAAAAAAAGGGCCACTTGCTCATTCATTCTGGCCAGGTTAAGTGATAATCACTTTCGCATGCCCTCAATGCCCTCACTTCCCTTTGTTTTTGTTTTTGTGCCTAGATCCATGATCTTCAAATCCCCAGACTGCTATGGTTATCTCTTGCAAAAGCGAGGTAGAAAGCAGGATTCATGCCTGGCTTCACCTCACACTTCATACACAAATCACTTAATACTGGAGAACGATTCCAATGGCTTATGCTACAAGTTGACTTCAAGTCTTTTATTCTCCAAAGCTATGTCCAAAAGGAACTTTTCCTATCCCTTCACTAATTTGTCTCATATTTTACCCCCAACTCCCACCCCCTCTTTAGTAATTTCTGCTAATAATTCTTGCTCTACCCACCCTCTTCAGGTCTTTCTATGTCAAAACTCATTTACTAAGTGAATGACACAACATGCAGTTGTGTCAATCATCAACAAAGCCTCGGTTTAACCTAGCCCCCTCTTTAATACAGCCCAGTGTTTTCTTGTTGCTTAGTCTCCCATCCCACTCCACCTCCCACTCCACTTGCCAGAAATCTCTCAGCCCCTCTCCTGCCCACAAAATCATTTTCTCAATCCCTTTGACTCCAAATCATATTCTCTTCTTAACCTTGCTTAATGTGTATGTCCCCCTTTTATTCAATCTTCACATATTAACTCTGAAGTCATTTATTTCATGCTAAATTACTGTGCTGGTGATAATTGTTTTACTTTTATAATTATTTTGATTGTTATGATTATCATCACTGGTTTCATGTGTCTGTTTATCCCTGCTACTTGAAAATGAGTCTCTGGTAATTATGCTGTTATCTGTGTTTTATATTGAAGTGGCTATCTTGCCTGCTCCCTCAACCTGCAACCTGAGTTTAAAGCACTTGCTTTGCCACACATTGTAGATGAATGCCAGAATTAGACATTAAATGCTCTGTTGCATGGGAACAAATAAGCCAGGAGAAGCAGTGCTGACTTAAAAGAGAAATACTGCAAACAATGGAAAAACAACAAACATTTAACAGTATAACCTAAGCATTTGTTTTCCTGAGAAATGTATGTAATAAGATGATAACTTGAATGAAGGGACAATTTTGGCTTGTTTGGACAGGACAAGGAAGAAAATCACAGCCCCTCCATCAGGTATAAACTCACGGTCTCGTAGGGGGGTCAACTTCTGGTTGATAAAGACTTCCAGCTAGTGTACTCACTCTCTGGAGAAACTGATTCCATTCAGCTGGTAATCAATTAATAGATCTATTTGGAAAAAAAAGCCATAGGAGGCTATTATTTTGGATAAAACTCGTACACTAGGCTAAAACAGATCAGGGTAAAAATCAAAATAGGGCCATTCATGTTCAAGTTCCACATCACCATCCTTAAACTGAATTGTTTATCTGAGCTTGAGAGAAATCAGTATTAAAGAGGTAATAGCCAAATTTCCCAAACATGCCAGCTTCATTGGCATGATACTGAAGTTCTCTCTGCTTTGATTCTTACACAGAATTGGCAACATGAAACTGTGATGTTAACCAGTTATTTTTTTTTTTATTGTTTTGTCTTCTTGTCTCTGCCTTGTAAGTAGGCTTGAAACCGTTTCTTCTTCTCCTTCTCCTTCTTCTTCCTTCAGCCCTTTTCTGACTATAAAATCAACCTTATCTTGGGGCTGTCACTGTGGCATAGTAGACATAAGCCTCAACCTGTGGCACAGACGCCGGTTTGTGTCCCGGCTGCTCCTCTTCCAATCCAGCTCTTTGCTTATAGCCTGGGAAAGCAGTGGACGATAGTCCAAGTACTTGGGACCCTGCATCGACGTGGGAGATTTGGAAGAAGCTCCTGGCTTCAGATCAGCTCAGCTTCAGCCATTGTGGCCATTTGGGGCTTGAACCACCTAATGGAAGATCTTTATCTCCGTCTCTCTCTCTCAAATAAGTAAATAAAAATCTTTAAAAAAGAATATCTCTCCTCCTAAACATAAAATCATCTACATCTTAAAAAAAAAAACAGCCTTATCTCCTCTGCTCATTGGAGCACTTATTCTATAGTATGGCATGATGTATTGCCCTATTTCAGAATTAAAACTAAAGCTAATTGCCGGCACTGCGGCTTACAAGGCTAATCCTCCGCCTTGCGGCGCCGGCACACCAGGTTCTAGTCCCGGTCGGGGCGCCGGATTCTGTCCCGGTTGCCCCTCTTCCAGGCCAGCTCTGCTGTGGCCCGGGAAGGCAGTGGAGGATGGCCCAAGTCCTTGGGCCCTGCACCCCATGGGAGACCAGGATAAGTACCTGGCTCCTGCCATCGGATCAGTGCAGTGCGCTGGCCGCAGCGCGCCGGCCGCAGCGGCCATTGGAGGGTGAACCAACGGCAAAGGAAGACCTTTCTCTCTATCTCTCTCTCTCACTGTCCACTCTGCCTGTCAAAAAAAAACAAAAAAAAACAAAAAAAAACAAAAAAAAACTAAAGCTAATTAAAATATTCAAGTTGATGCAATTTTTTTGTTTTTGTTTTGTTTTGTTTGTTTTGATTTTTTTTGCTCAATCTCACTGGTGAGAAATAGAAATGTGAGCTTATTTTTTATTTAGTTCTCTGCCTGGCTTCCAAAGCCCTCTTGATGTCAATAATTGTCAAGACCTGTTTTAGAAGTGAGGTAACATCATTGAGTAACTACTCATTTTCTTATGAGGAAGTACATGGTTCTATTTCACTGTATAAAAAACAGAAAGTCATAGTAAAGATGGATTGAGTCCAGGGCTTTACGAATTGGAAACTCTGCTGCCATGACAAATGTCATTTTCAGGGTATGGAGTCCTATGTTTGTAAACAAACACAAGTACAATTTTGGCCAACATGGCACACAGTTCAAATCATGGCACAGTTTATAAAAGGGATACACAAAACACCAATCATTAACCCTGTCTGTTGAAAAGATGTGGACTATCAATAAATGAAAAGATCATTGTAGCTAAGATTACTTAGTGAAAAAGTCAAAATAATTTTTTTCTCATATAAATGCTCTCACTCTGCTGGAGCTCTGGGCATTTTATTTTACAATCGTTATCTTCATTATTTTTTTAAAGATTTATTTGAAAGACAGAATTACGGAGAGAGGTAGAGATGAAGAGAGCAGTCTTCCAACTGCTGGTACACTCTCCAGATGGCTGCAACAGTCAGAGCTGTGCTGATCCAAAGCCAGGAGCCAGGAGCTTCCTCCAGGTCTCCCACGTGGGTGCAAGGGCCTAAGGACTTGGGCCATCTTCTACTGCTATTCCAGGCCATAGCAGACAGCTGGATCGCAAGTGGAGCAGCCGGGACTAGAACTGGCACCCATATGGGATGTCGGTGCTTCAAGCCAGGGCTTTAACCCGCTGCGCCACAGTGCTGGCCCCCATTATCTTCATTTTACTCATCATTAATTGTACACATATCATGAATTTGGCTCTTTTACTCACTGGCTGGCAATTACTTTTCTATGTCTCAGAGCCCCATCTGTAAGGTGGGGATTAAGCTAACATATACCTCATGAGGTTGTTGTAAAAATAAATGAGTACTTCAGAAAGTTTATGGAGAAATGGAATTGAAAGAGAAGTTCTCTTTAGTGTAGAGGAATATAGAAATCCATGAACATGCTTCTCGTAATTTTCATTTTCTTGAACTTTTTTGAAAACCCCTTTAATACATGGGTTTCCAAAATTTTTGCACCAAAATAAGCCTATCTTCTAATTCTATTTTCCAGGAACTTGTTGAAATACTCTCATTAGTATAAAGTGCTTCTGACCATGCCTGATACTTACTCTTCTCAGTGGCAGCTATTATTTGAATCATCGTCATTCTCACGTGGCATTCTTCATGTTAGTTCATCTGAAAAGATGAAGTTAGCATTATTATTATTCTAGTTTTACAGATTAAGAAATAAAAAAGCTCAGAGAAATGATGCAACTATGGAGATAACCAAGTTAGTACAAGACCTATCAGAAACAACTGTGTTACCAAGTATACTCTCATCTGGATTTTAGTAATCACAGGATAAAGGAAAACTTATTGTTTTAACAATGTTGAAACTGTTTGGCTCGTTTATTCGGTGACATTTTCATTATAAAAAAATCTCTGCCTCTGGGCTTCCATGGCTTGATTTGTCTTCCTATTCTTCCTTTCCAGGACCCCGTTTCCCCCAGCACCCCACAGCAATTAGAGACTACAGACCAGAAGAGAGAAGAGGAAAGTGGCAAGCCAGCAGCTGAATCAGCTGGAGGGAGGTGTTCAAGCTCTTTGTCCATTTATACTCAGAACTCAAATGCTCAACTCTGTTGCAGTAGCAATTCATCTCATAAATCAATTTGGCAAGGCATCAGCTTTAAAATCCATTACATCGAATCAGGAGTGGAGTTTACAGCTAATATGCCGACAGGGCGCCCTTAGACCACAGTGACCTTTTAAGCTGGCATAAACCAATGTTTTTGCTCAGCTCTGCCTCTCTCCATTCTACTGAGCCAGTTATGTTCCTGCCTGTTACTTTATGTAGAAAAAAGGGCCAAAGTGTTGACACTCATTCTCCTTAGAAAAAATAGATATTAGCAGAATGATAGAACTGCTTCTGGTTTTTTATTTTTTTATTATTTTATTTATTTGAAAGAGTTACGGAGAGAGGTAGAGACAGAGAGAGAGGTCTTCCACCACTGGTTCACATCCCAGATGGCCGCAACAGCCGGAGCAGCACCGATCCGAAGCCAGGAGCCAGGAGCTTCTTCCAGGTCTCCCACGTGGGTGCAGGGGCCCAAGGACTTGGGCCATCTTCTACTGCTTTCCCAGGCCATAGCAGAGAGCTGGATGGGGAAATGGAGCAGCCGGGACTAGAACCAGTGCCCACATGGGATGCCGGCGCTTCAGGGCAGGGCTTTAACCCGCTGCGCCACAGCACCGGCCCGTTTCTGGTTTTTTAAAGATTTTTTTTTTTATTTGAAAGGCAGAGTGACAGAGAGAGAGAGAGAAAGAGTATCTTCCATCTGATTTACTCCTCATATATCCACAAAAGCCATGGCTGAGCAAGGCAAAATCCAGGAGCCAGGAATTCTATCCAGGTCTCCTACATGGGTAGCAAGAACCCAAGTACTTGGAGCGTCATACGCTGCCTCCCAGGTACATGAACAGAAAGCTGGATTCGAAGTATGGAGTAGCCAGGACCATTTACTTCAATATGGTATGTTGTGTGTGAGTGTCCCATGCAGCGGCTTAACCCGCTATATGACAATGCCTGTCCCTGACCTTATTTCTTATTCCTAATAATCCCTGCAAATTCTACTAGCCATAAGAGTTGTCACCAAATCATTTTTTTAATAGAAATAAGTTTAATATTTATTCCTGTTTTAAAAAATATTTACGTAATTATTTGAAAGGTACAATTACAGAGAGAGAGTGGCAGAGGCAGAAAGAGAGAAGCCGTCTGTTCACTGGTTCACTGCCCAATTTGCCAAAATGGCCAGGGGCTGGACCATACTGCAGCCAGGAGCCAGGAGCTTCATCTGGGTCTCCTACGTGGGTTGCAGGGGCCCAAGGACTTGGGCTATATGTCACTGCTTTCTGAGGCACATTATCAGGGAACTGGATCAGAAGTAGAATAGCTGGGACTCAAATCTGCACCCATATGAGTGACCGGCCCTGCAGGAAGTGGCTTAACCTATTACACTGCAGCTACAGCTCCAATATTTATTATTTTAAACTGTTTATTCATTTATTAGTTATTTAAAACATGGTTCCCTCCATAAAAATTTGAAAGAAATTGTTTTCTGGTAAGACACCCATGAAACACTAATTACCAAACCCCAAAGCTACTTTTTTTTCTTCATATCTTTGGCAATGCTTCTCTAGCATTTGACCAAGTGGACAATTTTTCCTTCTTGAAAATCTCAATTCTTTTTTCTTCCATAGCATTCCAGTAATTTATTACTTTACTCACTTATCTAAAGACTACTCAGTATCAAACTCTTTGATATCCTATAGATTAGAGCTTATTCCATTAACTTCTATGGCAGCATACTGCCCCCTCTATGCCTCCCCAGGAAGTCCATGTCTTAATCCTCAGGTCCTGTAAATACGTTACCTTACATGGCAGAAGCAAATTTTAGGATGTGATTGTGTTAAGGATCTACAGATGGGGAACATCATTCCTGGATTATCCAGATGAGTCAAAGGTAAAATACGAGTCTCATAAGGCAGAGACAACAGGTTAGAGTCATTGTAGGAGACATGGCAATGGAGAGAGATCGATTGATTTGAAGATAGCAAATTGCTGGCTTTGAAGACGGTAGAAGGGGCCATGGCCTCTAAAAGCTGGAAAAAGCAAGGAAATGAATTGTCCCTTTGGAGCCTTTAGATGGAATACAGTCAACTCTCCACATTCATGCATTCTGCCTCTCTGGATTTAAACAACTGCAGTTCAAAAACATTTAGAAAAAGAAAAATTACTGTTGTACACACTTTTTTTCTTGTCGTGATCCCCTAAATACAGAATAACAACTATTTTTTACATTTTTTAACATTTTTAAACAAATTCGATATAGTTTGTAGATACAATTCTAAGAATGTGATATTCTCTTCTTCGTTCTTCCTTCCTTCCTTTCCTCCCTTTCCCTCCCTTCTTTGTTTCTTTTATAAATAATTTGAAGTATACAGAAGTATATGCATAGGTTCTTTGCAAAGGATTTTGGTGTCTGTAGGGTTCTGGGAAACAATCTCCTATGGATATCAAGGGATGACTGTATAGCTGTGTCTACACCTTGATTTCAGGACTCTGATCTCCCAAACACTATGGTGATAGATATGTGTTATTTTGTTAGTTCTGATAGTTTGTGGTGATTTATTACAGCAGAAATAATAAACTAATAAAACTGTCTTTTCAAGTATTTATTTCTCATTTTGAAAATTCTCCCAAATTCCAGAGCTGGCAAATGCGTTCTGGACATTTCTACCTAGATACTTTGCCAGTATCTTAAACACAACTTGTTCAATATTAAAACTATTGGCTCTCAATAAAAGTTCATTCCTTCTGTGGATTTTTTGGACTGCCTTCATGCATTCACTTATTAACTATTTAATTAACTTGTTTATTCACAAACCAAAACATTTATGAGTAACTGCAATGTCAGAACTGTTGAGACTCTTGGAGTGCAGGAGTGAACAAAAGACAAAATCTGCCCTGAAGGAGATCACATTCTAGAGGAACGATCCACAAAAACAGGAAACAATTAATTCGTTCAAACTACTAAAGTTAATTGAAGACTTTTAAGCTATTATAATAGGGTGGTCAGGGAGGGCAGTTAGTGCAACAGTCAAGATGATGCTTGGGACACATGCATCCCACATAGGAGTGCCTAGGTTTAAGCCCCAATTTTGTTTCCAATTCCACTTTCCTGCTAATGTGTACCCTGAGAAACAGGTGATGGCCCAAGTATGTAGGGTCTGTGTCACATATATGGGAGGCCTGGATTGAATTCCTGTTCCAAGGTTTTGGTCTAGCCCAGCCTCAGCTGCTGCAGGTATTTGGGGAGAGAACCAGAAGATGGAAGATCTCTCTCTCTCTCTCTCTCTCTCTCTCTCTCCCATCCCCCTCCAAATAAAATTAAAAAAAATAAATTTTAATAGGATGGTCAGAGAAGGGCCATATGAAAAGGTGACATTTGAACAGAGATCTAATTGAAGAGATGAGACAAGAAAAATAAATTTGGAGGAATCGCATTCAAGGAATAATATACAGAAAACAGAAAAGCTCTTTAGCAAGAATAAATTTGGATAGTTCAAGTTCAAGTAATTGCAAACAGATGTGAGTAGAATGGGCCACATGGAGAATGGGAAAAAGATGTAGTCAGAAACATAGCCAGTGACTTCTTTGGTCATAGGTAGGAATTCTAATTGTTTTCTAAGTGTGATGGGAAACCATTAGAGAATTTTGAAGAGAGAGAGTGATATGATCTGATTTAGAGTTTAAAAAATATACTGTCACTACTCTGTGAAGAACAAAGTGAAGGGGGAAAAAAGGAACTCCATCTGGAAAGCTAAGTAATGAATGACCCTGGCTTGGCCTAGAGTAATAGCCATGCAGGTGGTCAGAATCAGGATATATTTTGAAGGCAGATCTAACAACAACTACTAAATGATTGATGTGCAGAGTGAGGACAGAAAAGAGTCAAGGATAAACCCCTAAGTTTTGAACAATTGCAAAAATGCAATTGCCATTAACTAAACTAAGGAAGACTGCAAAAATAGTAGGTTTGGGAATGAATATCAAAAGTTTGGTTTATTATGTTTTAAAATTGACATTCCTTTAGACATCAAAGCAGATATGTCATACATGTAGTTGAATACTGGCATATACGTTTGCTGCTAAAACAGGCACTGTGGACTAAAGACACTTTTTTGGGAGATTATTAGCATGTAAATCATGTTCAAAGTCACAAGACTGGATGAATTTACTCATGGTATGACTGAAAATAAAAAAGAGAAGTATGAGGTTTGAACCCAGGAGGACTCCAATACAGAGGAATGGGGAGAAGAGGAGAAGCCAGCAAGGAAGATTAAGAAGGACCAGCTAGTGACGCAGAAGGAAAGTGAGGAGAATGTATCTCAAAAGCTAAATGAAAACTAATATTTTCAAAAGGGGAGTAATCACCTCTGTTAACCGTTGCTGAATACTTGTGTAAAATGAAGATATATAACTCAGCACTTGATTTGGATGGAGCTCTGTTCACCATGACAATAATTATTTCTAACCAATGGAGAGGAAAACATTGTGATTAGAATGGGCCAAGAAGAAAAAAACTGGAGATAGTAGGTATAAACAACACTTTTCAGAGTTTTCCTACAAAAGGATGGAGAAAATGGGGTCATAGCTGGAAGGAAACATAAAATAATGGCAGTTTTAAGATTGGAAATATTAACCTAAGATTGGAGGCTTTATGGCAAATTTATAAGATAGGGATGATCTTATAAAATGGTATAACTTTATTTTTCTCTTTTTTTAAAAAGATTTGTTTATTTATTTGAAAGTCAGAGTTATAGAGAGGCAGAGAGAGAAAGAGAGAAAGAGGTCTTCTATCCGCCGGTTCACTCCCCAGATGACTGCAATGGCCAAAGCTATGACCATCCAAAGCCAGGAGCCAGGAGCTTCTTCCAGGTCTCCCATATGGGTGCAGGGGCCCAAGGACTTGGGCCATCTTCCACTTCTTTCCCAGGACATAGCAGAGAACTCAATTGGAATTAAAGCAGATGGGACTCGAACTGGCGCCCATATGGGATGCCAGCAACTGCAGGCAGTGGCTATGCCACAGCGGTGGCCCCAAAGGGTATAATTTTCATAGCAAAGATTTCAGCTTGCACAGAAGAGGGCATTCAGTGTATAAATGTAGTTGTTACTATTATTCATTTATATAATTAGTAGAGAGAGAACATTAGTTCTGATAGAAGAAGTTATGGATGAGAATAAATATGAGTGTGAATATGTTAGAGGTTTAAAAAAAGAGAAAAGATAGGAAATATACATCCCAAAGAATGGTACAGCAACTTTACAAATAAAACAAAGAACATTTTTAAGCATTGCTGAAGGTCCACTTGGTTAGATGTTAGGAGTCCTGATAGGATTTAAGAATAGTTAGAGGGGCTTGTGCTGTGGCATAGCAGGTAAAGCTGCCGCCTGCAGTGCCAGCATCCCATATGAGCACTAGTTATAGTTCAGGCTGCTCCACTTCTGATCCAGCTCTCTGCTATGGCCTGGGAAAGCAGTAGAAGATGGCCCAAATGCTTGGGCCCCTATACCCACTTGGGAGACCAGGAAGAAGCTCCTGGCTCCTGGCTTTGGATAGGCATAGATTGGACTGTTGCAGCCAACTGGAGAGTGAGCCAACGGATGGAAGAACTCTCTCTCTCTCTCTCTCTCTCTCTCTCTCTCTCTCTGCCTCTCCTTCTCTCTGTAACTCTGACTTTCAAATAAATAAATAAATAAATCTTTAAAAAAGAAATAATAGTTAGAATGAGGATAACACATTAGTAAGCTAGAAACACAGACAGCTGGTGACGGCTTTGTGCACAGCAGGTTAAATCTCTGCCTCAGATGCTGGCATACCATATTTAAGCTCCAGTTTGAATCTAGGCTGCTTTGCTTCCAATCCAGCTCCCTGTTAATGTGCCTGGGAAAGCATCAGAGATGGCTCAAGTGATTGGACCCCTGCCACCCATATAGGAGATTTGAATGGAGCTCTAGGCTTGTGGTTTCAGTTTGGACCAGCTCTAGGCATTGTAGCCATTTGGGGGAGTGAACCAGGGAATGGGAGCTCGCTCTCTCTCTCTCTCTCTCTCTCCCTTTCCCTCTCTCCCACCTCCCTCACTCTCTGTCACTCTGTTTTTCAAATAAATCAAATAAATATTTAAAAAAACAAAAAAGGAAACACAGAAGGCTGTGGTCAGAGTTTATTATATTTGCTGTTAAGACTAACGATATTCTGCAACATGAATGAGACTGAGTGACTAGGAGTGTAGTATATGATAGCTGCTAAAAGCATGAGTTAAAACTTCAGACTTCAGTTGTAATGAAATTCAATGACCTGTAATTTGGGTTTTTGATTTAAACTTTTAAAAACATTATCTTCATTTTATTTTAAAGGGAGAATGACACACACACAGAGAGAAAGAGAGAGAGAGAAAGAGAGAGACAGAGAGAGACAGAACTAATTTGCTGATTCACTCCCCAAATATTGCAAATATTGCAGTGTCTAGAGCTGGGCCCAGACAAATCCAGGAGCTGGGAACTCCATCCAGGTCTTCCATGTGGGTAGTAGGGACCCAACTACTTGAGTCATCACCTACTTCCTCCCAAGGTGCACATTAACAGGAAGGTGGAATCCAAAGAGGAGCTAGGACTGAAACCTAGGTAGTAGCTTAACCACCAGGCTAAATGTCCACCCTCCATTAATGAACATTTACTTAATATGCAACTACTTGAATTGCTCCTTAAATTCTTCTTTGGGTTCACATTTCTGCTTTTACCCTCTTGCAAAGATAAAACTACTCTGATTTTGAGTAACCTAGCAAATGATTACACTATCACAATAGCTTCCTGGGTCTGTTTTGAAAAGTAACACTTTTTAGCATATAAAATTATTTGCATGAAATTATGTTTAAGGTTTAAATGCCTCTAGTTACCAATAACATAAAATATTTACTAAGCTATTTAGAAAAAAAAAAAACAGGATCTCTCTCTCCCTCTAACTCCCCCACTTTTGTCTTTACACACATAAAATTTTCCAAAATCAGTATACATTCCACAACATAGCTTTATTTCATAGTAATAGTGTCACTCATTAGAAAAAGATCTGTTTCTAAAGGATTACCCTTTTGTCTTTCAGAAAAAATATATCAATAACCACTAGAGTATAGAGAAATCTTTACTTTTTTGATATTGTTTCCCTGTACTACTGGATGCGGTTTGCTGGAGAGCTCAGGATAATGGTTGGTGAAAGTACACATTTCTAGAAGAATCCTGCTGAGGCTATGTGGAAAGATTAGTAATGGCTAAGAATTGCAGGCCACTCAGTTAATTGATTTTTTCTATCTAAAGGATAGCCATTCCTTTATTTTCACTGTAGTTGGTTTATAATAGACTGATCTCAAGGTATACAATTGAACACTCTCCAGTTGTGAGAACATGTGCTTTTTAATGGAAAGCTTGGTACCAGTTTAATAAAGGAAATTATATATGGGCTGACATTAACCCTTCCCATTTGTTTCATGAATATATGTTGTTATCATTCTCATAGCCAACAACTGACACAGAAGATGAATAACCAAAGACCAATAAATAAGTATATTTATAGCTAGTACCACATACCTCTTTTCTCATATGTAGAGTCTTCATTCTTCATATGACTGAAAATAAAAGCTCTTTTGATGCTATTTCTAAAGACTGTGTGTTATATTTTTCTTTTAAACTAATCATAATCATATCTATCATGTACATTTCACTTATGAATCTACCAATCTTTGTAAACATTAATCTCAGAGCTCCACAAAGAAGGAAGACAGATCCTCCAAGCAAAAGATTCTATTCTCTTGTTGCCAGGACACTATGTAGAATTTCCAGAGTTGGAGCTTAAAGGTATAGTCCTTTTTTATGTCTCCCTAAAAGAATAGTTACTAGGAAGTTTATAAAGAAAAAAAACTATTTCCTATTTATTTATGAGGCAAATCAACCCTATTGGCAGTTCTGAACTAAAATTTTATTATATCAGGATAATGTATTAATTATAATTAACACATTAGTTATACTCCCTAGGAGGCAGTGACTGATGGCACAGTCATTGATTCCTTGAGATCCGTGTGGGAGACCATTTTGCCTAGGTCCTGACTTTTGCCTAACCCAGTCCTGAGTTTTGCAGGCATTCTAGGGAGTGAGCCAGAAGATGAGAGTGCTTGCCCTTGCTTCTTCTCTCCTCATATAAATAAATTATAAAAAATTACAATGTCATCTTATATTTGTTTCTGGAAGAAGTCAACATTTATGCTGGTGAGGATGTGGGGAAAAAGGTACCCTAATCCATTGTTTGTGGGAATGTAAACTGGTGCAGCCACTGTGGAAGACAGTATGAAGATACCTCAGAAATCTGAATTTAGATCTACCGCATGACCCAGCCATCCCACTCCTGGGAATTTACCCAAACCCAAAGAAATAAGCATATAAAAGAGCTATCTGTACTTCCATGTTCATTGCACCTCAATTCCCAATAGCTAAGATATGGAATCAACTCAGATGTCCATCAACTGATGACTAAATAAAGAAATTATTGTATATATACACTATGGAGTACTACTCAGCCATAAAGGAATGAAATCTTATCTTTTGCACCAAAATGGATGCAATTGGAAACCATTACACTTATTGAAATAAGCCAGTCCCCAAAAGACAAATACATGTTTTCCCTGATCTGGGGTAACAAAGAGAGTACCCAAAATATAATGTATTAGAGTGAAATGGACATGCTGAGATTTGATGATTATTTATAGCCCTTGTCTCTTCTGTTGAGGAACAGTGTTTTCTTCTGCATACTATTTGTTGAATTCTTTACTTAGTGTAGGGTTAAATTCATGATTATTAACTGAAAATAGCTCTTTGTAAAAATTAAGAATGGAATGGGATGGGGCCAGTGCTGTGACATAGCAGGTAAAGCCACCACCTGAGGTGCCAGCATCCCATACGGGTACCAGTTTGAGTCCCAGCAGCTCCACTTCCAATCCAGAACTCTACTGTAGCCTAGGAAAGCAGGGGAGGATGGTTCAAGTGCTTGGGCCCCTGCACCCCTGTGGGAGATATGGAGGAAGCACCTGGCTTCTGGCTTCAGATTGGCACAGCTGCAGTCATTGTGGCCATCTGGGGAGTGAATCAGCTGACTGATGGAAGATCTCTCCCTCTCTCTCTCTCTCTCTCTCTCATTCTCTGCTTCTCTGTAACTCTGCCTTTCCAATAAATAAATATTTAAAAATAATTAAGAATGGTATATGGGTGCTGGTTCGTGTCCTACTGCTCCTCTTCTGATCCAGCTCTCTGCTATGGCCTGGGAAAGCAGTAGAAGATGGCCCAAGTGGTTGGGCCCCCTGCACCCACGTGAGAGACCTGTAAGAAGCTCCTGGCTTCAGATCAGCTCAACTCCAACAACTGGGGCCATTTGGGGAGTGAAACAGCAGATGGAAGACCTTTCTCTTTTTCTCTAGATCTCTCTGTAACTCTATCTCTCAAATAAATAAATAAAATCTTTAAAGATTGGACAGGAGAAGATGCCAAAGTAGGGAGGGAGCTTGATGCTCTAGTCTAGGAGAAGATAGTTTAAAAATGTGGAAAGAGTAGTCTCCGGGAATGGTCAGGGAGAAAACAGCAGAGGAAACTCTATGCGAATTGGAGGGACACAGTGGACCTACCTGGAAGGCAAGGACATGCACAACTCAGGACTGCACCAACCGAGAGCCTCCACACCAGCATTGGAGAGTAAGGTGAGACCAGACTGAAGCAGCCCAAGACATTGGCCAAAAGGCTGTAGGAAGAACCTAGAGGGAATCTGGCTTGGAGCCCTATGTGAGACTGTACCTGCCAAATTCAAGGAGAAAAAACAAAGGGGGTGGCATGTTTTATCTCTCTCCAATCACCCTGCAATGTTCTCCTGTAACAAGCTGATAGAGAGCAGGCACCATGTTGGACATATGTAACAGCTGCACCAGCTCATGTCCACACCCAGAAACCAGCCAAGCAGAGACTCCTGAGTTTGGTGAAGAGAACAGACAGGAGGCTGGGTGATCATGACTGTGGGAGGTTTGTATGATGCAACTGTGAAAACACTGAGGCTCCATAGGAAGACTCCAAGTGTGGCTAGCACTTTGGGAAGTCATTGTGGGAGGCTACACATGATCAGGGCTCCCTGGTTACCCAGTGAGGGACATTACTGGGGAATCTGAGCTTATACTGAGTACTGGACAGCACCTTTGTGTGATGCTTGTGGCAGAGCAGACAAACAATATATCCACTGGGGCTAGTGCCCAGGCACTGGTCTCGTTTGAGGAGAGGAACACAGCTGAGTCTATGCTAACAGTCAAGAAGAAACCTCCCTCCGATAAAAAAAGGAGAGATTTACCATGTCCAACCTGGGTGTGTCACCTGACATGCCTTTCATGCTAGAGCATGGAACATAGCTCCTTAGCCACACCCGCCACACGCCTCTAGGTATTCCCTGAAAGCAGACACTCCACTAATCCACACTGACATAGTCCAAAGATAAAAACCACAACAGCAAAAAAACAAAGAAGAAAACAACGAATATCTCCACAAATGCAGAATAACAAATGCACCAATTCAGGAAACAAGAATAAGGAAGAAAACAGGATGCCCTCAAAAGAACATAATACTATATTGTGAAGATGATAAGACTGAAGAAATGCCAAAAATGGAATTCAGAAAAACTGATCACAGGATTACCTAGAAGTAATCAGAAGCAAATGCACCAACTAATGAAATCCACACATAACATGAAAGAAAATTTCTCCCAAGAAATTGAGATCTTAAAGAGAAAACAAAATGAAATTTTGGAATTCAATAGCACTAATAAAAATGCAGTGGAAAGATTAACAACAGAATCAGTGAAGCAGAAAAAAGAATATCCACCTTAGAAGACAAAGCATAGGAAATTATACAGTCAGATCAAACAAAAGAAAGAAATTAGAAAACTAAAAAACACTGTTGGTAATCTAAAGGATTCTATCAAACAGTCCAACATACGGGTTCTAGGAGTTCCTGAAGGAGTAGAAAGAGACAAAGGATTAGAAGGCCTTTTTAGTGAAATAATAACAGAAAATTTCACTAATTTGGAGAAAGAAAGGAATATCCAAGTTCAGAAAGCACATAGAACTCATAATACAGGTGACCAGAAAAGATCTTCACCACAACACATTGTAATCAAGCTCAACACAGTAAGACACAAAGAAAAGATTCTGAAATGTGCAGGAGAGAAACACCAGATTACTTTCAGAGGATCTTCAATTAGACTAACAGTGGACAATTCATTAGAAACCCTACAGGCTAGGAAAGAAGGACGAGATATAGTCCAAGTCCCAAGAGAAAAGAACTGTCAACCCAGAATACTATACCCTACAAAGCTTTTATTTATGAATGAAGCTGAAATAAAGATCTTCCATAACAAACAGAAATTGAAGGAATTTATCACCACCCTTCCAGCCCCATATCTTGGTGGTGTCAAACAACAACTTTTTAATTAGCAAACAATTTTAGGGGATTAGCAGTTCAGGTAGTAGTCATCTCAATGACTCTTGTCTCTGCTGAGATCTTTCATGCATTTGTGGGTTGGTTGCAGGCTGGCTGTGTGGTCTTTCATACTGCATCAGGAGGCTGGACAATGTTCCCTGATGTCAAGAAAAAGCATGGAAGTCCATTTGAGGACTGGTCTCATAATTCATATAGCATTCTAGTTGCATTCTACTGGCCAAAGAAAAATCCCAGAACCAAGGGGCTGATAAATCAGAGAAAAGAAGAGTCAGAGATGCTAAAGGAAATGGTTCTATGATTAGAGACATCCTAGCCCAAGAATAGGTCTCAATTATGTAGGTCATGGCCTGATGTCCTTCAGGCTTAACTCTATACAAATAACTCTCTGCTGCAATCTCATGCTCAAAATGCAACCTTCCAACTTAATTTAATTAATTAAATTTGGTTTGTGATGTGGTGTGCATTTACCCCACTTAAGCTTCCTGCACCAACTTTCTCATTCTCTCTCCCATTATATAAAATAGCTTTTTTCTTCCTCTGTATTCTGGGTCCTACATTACCCAGATAGTGGAGGTAGAGGTTCTGTTTTGGCACAGGCTTCTTGCTTCTTGACACCATAGTTAAGTTCCCTGTCCTCTGAGAACAAGGGCTAGGCTTCAGCATGGGCATTATCGTACTTGTCCCAGAATGAGCCACAGTTGTTCTAAGACCCAGTAAAACAGAAAGGAATTGGCAGATAAATTGCTGGTCCTTCCTCTCTTTCCAACATAATACTATGGTTCAGAGAGGCTGTGATTCCATGCATCCTTTATGAAGATTTCACATGACCAATCAGCCAGGTGCCCCAATAGGCCTTGTAGTAGCCTTGGTAATATTTCAATTTGTATTGGCTTTTGCTCCTTCCTTGACTAAAACCTGCTTTTCCTTCATTCGCGGTTCATTGAGAGTGTACTCTTTTCAAAAGGCAAGACACATAAGTCATGTTTCATGCCCTTTAGCTTTCTTTTTAGGGAACCCAAGATTAAATCTGTTCATTTCTACTAAGTGTACGTGGAATTAGAGAATTTGATCATGCTGAGTTTTGACCAATAGATGAATAATAGTTCCATTTGAGAGTAACCCTGATTGACTGGAGCATATTGTGGTATGTTGTTTTTCTGGGAGTTAACTCTTTATCTCCCATGCAATGAGACAGGATGGTGGAGTCACTTAGAAAATGGCAGTAGCCTGTCTACAGCAAAGCCTTTTCAGGCAAATTATGC